CCAGCTCCTCTCCAGGCCAGCCAAGCAGGGGCTGCCGCGGGACCCCGTCCATCCATCGCCCATCTATCTAGCCACCCGTCCATTCAAAATGTATCCCCATGTACCCCATCTCTGTCTGTTCCTCCCCACGTGCCCGCCTCTGTTTTATCCCTCATCCATCCCCCAACACATAATTTAACCTACCTAGCCCACTGCATGGCATCCATTCCCATCTATCTATATCTGCCTTTCTATCCCCATTTATCCCTCTACTTGTTCCTCCCTCCCCATACACATCTCTCCATTCAACCATCTATCCCATAAATCCAACCCCATACATCCCTGCATCTATCCATCTCCATACACATCCATCCATGGACATAAACAGAATCTGTTCTATCCCAATACACCATAGCCAACCATCCATCCTCACATACCCATCTGTTTATCCAGCCTACGTAACCCCATACACCCCAGTTATCCATCCCTATACACTCCATCTGTCTATCCCCACACACATCCCTCTGCCTATCCTTCCTTCTCTCCCCATACATATTATCCATCCATCTCCTTCCTTCCATACATAGTTATCTATCCATCCATTCTTCCTGCCTAATCATGTTATCCTCTTTGGTTTGCAAGAATGGGGATGGGGGTGGGGAGATGAAGAAGCTGCTGGAAACCCCGCACTAGGTGATTGGTTTCAAGCTTGGGTCCAGGACCAGAGGGGGCATCTCTCTGCTTCAGGCCGGGGTACGTGTGTGGAAAAGAAGATACTGGGGAGGGTCCAATCCAGAGTCCAGGCCGCAGCCCTACAGGGCAGGATCGGAGCCTCCCCCCTTTCTCTTTGCATGGCCATGGCTGCATCTGCGGGTGCGCCAGCCCAATTCTCCCTAGGGGGGCCGCACTCACTGGGCCCTCTGCTTTCCCTTGCAGACTCCAAGCTGCAGAAGTTCGACCTGTTCCCCAAGACGCTGCTGCCCAGCCGGGCCGTGACCCCGCAGCAGGCGGGTGGGAAGCCCCTGTCCCCGGACGGCGAGTCGGCGCCGGGCACCTCCTCCCCCGAGGCTCGCCCCGGCTCGGGCTCGGAGAACGGCGACGGCGAGTCCTTCCTGAGCTCGCCCGTCTCCAAGGGGCCGAAGGAGGGCGAGGAGAGCCCGGGCTCCATCAGCCCGCTGGGCTCCGACTCGGGCTCGGAGGCGGAGAAGGACGAGCAGGACCCGTCGCCCGCGGCCGGCGGGCGGCAGCGGACTCCCCTGGACATCCTGACGCGCGTCTTCCCGGCGCACCGGCGCAGCGTGCTGGAGCTGGTGCTGCAGGGCTGCGGCGGGGACGTGGTGCAGGCCATCGAGCAGATCCTCAACAACCGCGGCCCGGACAAGGCGCCCGACGAGGGCTGGGCCCGGGAGGGCGCCCTGCAGCCCAGCCCGGCCGCCGCCGCCGCCCACCACCGGCCCCTGCTGGCGGGCGCCATGAGCCCGGCCATCGGCACGCTGGGCAGCCGCTCCGCCTTCTCGCCCCTGCAGCCCAACGCCAGCCACTTCGGCGCCGAGGCCAGCGCCTACCCGCTGGGCACCCACCTGGGCCTCAACCCGCTGCGCCTGGCCTACTCGGCGCACAGCCGGGGACTGGCCTTCATGGCGCCCTACTCCACCGCCGGCCTCATGCCCACGCTGGGCTTCCGGCCGCCCATGGACTACGCCTTCAGCGACCTCATGCGGGACCGCTCCGCCGTGCACAAGGAGCAGGTCTACTCCGGCGGCCTCTACGGGCCCATGGTCAACAACACCCCCGAGAAGCCATAGACGGAGCCCCCTGCTGGGGAGCAGCGCCCGGCCGGCCGCAGCCGCCTCGCTCCCTCTCTTGACAGCTGCCAAACCAGCGCGCCCCTCTCCGGAGCGAAGGGGACTCACTCCACGGAGCCCGGCTCATCCGCGTCCCCTTCCAGCCCCGGGTGCCGAGCCGGGCGTGGGCGCAAAGATGGAAACTAATAGGTGTATTAAAAAAAAAAAAAAAAAAGGTGATCAAGGTGCACTTTCATTGTGGAGCTGTGTGTCACTCTCTTTGTTGCTTATGGCCATAAGCATGGATATCCTTGGTGCATTGTGAGGTGTGTGTGTGTGTGTGTCTGCACACACGTACATATAGATACATACATACACGTGTATGTATACTAGCAAGTGTATAATGTTATAAAATGGAAAATTAAGTTATTAATGTAACTTGTAGGTGAACTTGGGTATTAAAGCGAAAGGTTAGCCAGCTCTCATTGTAATACTTACCCGTTCCATAGATTCAATATATTGTAAAACGGAAAAGCCTTCCCCCTTCCAACAAATGTTATAATCTGTATATACCATTGGAAAGTAGATATATTTGTAACTGTCCGTAGGACCCAGCCGCCGATGCTGTATAACGATTTAATGGGCTCGTTGCTTTCTGGTTCCGATGTAGCAAACTTCTTGCTGTTTCTAACAATTACTTTCTGTGTTTCCATTTCATAGAAATACTAGAAATAAATGTTATTTTCTATTAAAATCAGCCTGGCACATGGCAAGTGATATTTTATTAGAAGGCGGAACCAAGGTTGTGGCAAACCCCGGGAACGAGGAAAGTCAATATTTAAGGCAGATGAGTGCAAATCATTTAGGAACATTCTGAACATCTTTACTACATTTTATCTCGCGGTGGAAGCAGACACTCTGATGAAAGTCTATGCATTTAAAAATATATCCCAAAACGCAGCACACGGGACCGGAGAGATTTATTTGTCCATCGACGCGTCAAATCATTTTCTTTCTACTTCTTCATTTTTTATTGGTTTAGAAAAAAATTTCAAGTGCATTTTTCTCCACGTGCATTGGTAAAATCAAGGAGGTTTTCCAGTGTGGGGCTTGCTGATTTCTTCCTCGTATGTAGACAATTTGACACTATCCCAGGGAAAGGCAAAGAATTTTGTTAAATTACCCGGTGCGTTCGTTCTTGCATATAGATGCTGGATCATCCAGTTTCTTTTCGTTCGATAACTGCACTGCAGATTTTCAATTGCTTTCTATATGATCAAGATAAGGGCCGGCACATAGCGATAATGATAATATAATAAATTGCCTTCAGGCCAGGTTGTTTAAATAGAATAATTATTTAGTTAAGGAATCAACTCGGACAAAACAAAACCAATTTGTGGAAGGGTTTTCGCATTGGCAACATAGCGTCCGATTATACTTGAAGGCAAATCGAAGAAATATGCTATTTTTCCTATTTAAATCTACATAAGAATGAGCTTCAGCAAAAGCTTCCTACAGCGTCCCCACCAAAAAAAAAAAAAAGTATTGGGCAGGGAGGAGGGAATTTTCTTATCTATCCTGGGAGCGTTTGGCCCAGGAAAACTATTACTCACAAAGAACAAGTTCAGTGCATGGTTGAATTAAGACTGTAGAAGCTCCCAAAGTTGGTTGGTATGGAAACCTAATCCCACCAAACTGTTCTGTGGCACAGCTGGACTGTTTACTTTCTCACTTCAAATATAACTGTGTAAACATTGGCTTGAAACTGACAGTGCTGTTCCTATAAACCAGTTAATATATTGGTGTGTATGAGACGAAATGCGTGTCTTCATGGTTATTGAAAGAAGCCCAGGGGTAAAATCAAAGAACTATAGCGAGTACCATACGTTTCTTCCTTGCCTTTCGCAATGGATCAGGCTGGCTACAATTTTAAGATTGTTCTTTTGGGGAGTAAATATTACAGATTACACCTAGGTAAATACATTTGACCCCGCTCCAACCTGAGAGCAGCCAAATCAATATCACAAGGGAAACTTTTTAAAGTCTCGTGTTCCAAGAGTGGGTGAAACTTAATATTACTACAATAAAACGGTTTAATAAAGAAGGGCTTTAATAGTGAGCTAATTTGATTGAGTTTCCTAATTCCACTTTAATTGGAAAAGGAGTTGTCTGTTTGGTTATAAAGCGCCAGGGTTATTGTAGACTGGAAAAAAGAGAGAGAGAGATGGACTTTGAGCATCTGAATAAACTTTTTTCTTTTGGCAGCTGACTTTGCCCAGGATGAGTTTCCATATCTGGGATTATGAATGGGCTACAAAGAGCTGCTCTTTCAAGAAATCGGGTCGCCACATTTCTCCCTTTCTAGCCTTGTTGAGAGGGGCTTAGGAGCTGTTGGTTTAACTCCGCTCCCTTTTTAATTAGAAAAGCCATTCTTGTGGAGTTAGCCGACCAGGGCAATTTACCCGAAGTGTTGCTGTTTTTTGGAGGTTGGCTTGAGCTTGGGTTTGTACGGCCCGTAATGAGGAGCATCATGATTAACTTTCATATGGATAGTTTAGGCCGTTAACTTTTTTTTTTAAAGCGGATACATTGTGCCCACTGAAGTAAGACCCTGCTTGGACACACACCAATCCCCCACCGGTTGAGTTTGCATCCGCTGCCTGGGGCAAGGTGCGAAATATCCCGCTCCCCTTTTCGAGTGACATGAAATACTCGCCCCTGAACAAAAATCCGCGGAGCTGCCTATAAATGATGTGCGAGGCGGAGGAGCGAGGCTGTAAACGAGCGCGAGCAAACTTCCCTGTTAATTAAATCTTAAACCGCCGGTTTGAGGAAGCGGCGGGGCTGGAGCCGAGGCTGCTGTACATACAGTGGGACACGTCCCGCAGTTATATGCGCTGCGCTGGCGTTTAAAAGGAATCAGCCCTAATCCACAGCACAATACAGAGCAAATTAGACTAACCATTTAGTAGCGAGTTGACATTCCGTCACCTTCCCAGAACCCACGGCGCAGCCAAAGGAGAGCGCGCCTGGAACAGGTTCTGCAGCACCCGGGTGCCCTGGGACCGGGGGCATCAGGGCAAATCAGCCGTTCGAAACCCACCCTTTTAAATACGGGGAATTGTAGCGCAAACGGGTCTCCCCTCCCCTTGCCTTGTTACGTGCCCGTCCGGCGCCCAATCTGCTGCCTAACCCGGCCGGGCGCAGGGAATGAAACCGCGTGGTGGGGAGCCGGGTGGATGCCACCCCAGGCCGTGCGCTGCGCAGGCCGGCCGTGCGCCTGGCCACAAGTGCCAGTTTTCAACTGAAGGTGTGTTCTGCTTTCCATCAAGCAGGGTGGGAGATTTTCCCTCCGGATATGTCCCGCTCACTCGGCCTTTCCTGATGAGCGCTCAGCAGGGAGCAGAGCCTTGGGCCCCCAGCTTCCACGGCCAGGGCGCATTGGAGAGTCTGCGCGGTATTTTCAGCCAGCTGCGAGGCGCTAGTTTAGCGCAACGGCAGAAGTTACTAGGTGTGTGTGGGGGGGAGATGTCAGAACTTCCGAGTGGGCCCAAGAACAACAACAACAACCACCCCTCTTGCTGGGGAAGTTTGGGGGGCAAACTCTACGCACTTCAGGGGCGCGTGTAAGTGCTCCAGGCAGCGCAAGAAGCCAGGAGAGCGGGGAGGGCTGTTATTCATTTCAATGGTGACAGTCTTTTAAAATAATCCCTCCTCTTGGAAGGCGCCAGGCACCTCCAGGACTCTCAAATCCTCCATGCAGCAGCAGCAGCAGCAGCAGCGGCGGCGATTTCCCTGCCCGGAGGGGTGAGAAAGGACCCGCGAGTCACACCGGGGCCTCGTTTGCTGGCCCTTCTCGCAAGTGGCTCGCATCCCTGCTACAGCCCGGGGTTGCGCGCGGCGCGCGTGGGGAGCAGCGGGGCACATCTTTGCCGTGGTTCCACGCCTCGTGGGCTTGACACGGGAAGCCTACGCGAGAGGGGGAAATGGGTGTCGAGTCTCCATCGCTTTGGCCTCCCAGCGCCGGGAAATCCGGAGCGTGGAGGCGAAGGAAAGCATCGATCTCAGGCATCCGCAGAGCAAGTCACTTTCGCACGTCGCCGGGCTTGGGGAGAGGGGGATACACTGCCAGTGTCACCCCGCGGGGGTTTGGTCTCCTGGCCTGGCCTGTCTCAGTGTATTCCAGCCCCCAGAGCCTTAGCTTACCGCGCAGGATCTCAATAAAACCGCTGCCTGCGAGTTCGGGGTGCGAGTTCGCGGCGAGTTTGGTGGAAATAATAAATCCGGACAGAAACTTTTCTCCTCTTCTTCTGTCCCCTCCACAATTGCTGGGAGCGCAGGTGTCTCCCTCCCCGGGTATGTGTTTCATAGGCGTGTGGGGAATCACCAGTGAACAGCGAGATTGTCTCTCTCCCTTGCCATTCACGAGCCAGGCTGAAATTTCCTTTCCCACTCGTGGTCGTGTGGGTCCCTGCCTTGGTGCTACACAGAGGCACCCCGTGGTCCCTGTGTGATCTGGTAACACCCCACGGGCAATCGCAGCATTGCCCATATGCAAAAATAATAGCAGACACATATTTGACATATTTGAATGTGGACAACAGGCGAGTGACTTCTGCACTTTTCACCCACACTTGTTCCTTTGGCCGCTGTGACCTAGGGGAGCATGATCGCCCAAAGAAACTATGTGAGCTCACGGCATCCCTCGTTTGGCTGAGTGTCAGCACACCCAGGGGAGTGACGATGTTAGATGGCAACAGAAGTAAGGAACCAAACACCGCATGAATGACACCAGAGAGGAATCTGGCGCAAAATGCCAGTCGCATTAACATTGCTTAAAGCGCCTCAAAGTTCTTCGTTCTGAACTTGGGAAATTAATTAATTTAGTTGGACAATTAATGGAAAAAGTTTTTCGAACTTTTTATTGTTGACACAAAGTTTAAAACTATTTTTTGGCGGTTTTTGAGATTGCGATTTTTTTTGGTTTTGGTTTTGTGTTTCTTCCCTTTTTTCTTCCTTCGATCTCGGTTTTTTTCCAGTGGCAAAAAGGGAAGCGTGTAGTGGTGGAAAGGGAGAAAAGCAGAGAGAAAGGGGCGCAACCAAACATTAGAACATGAAAAGATTCCGTTTTGATTTTGAATTTTTTTTTCCATTTAACCATTGGGACATTTCCCACTTCTTTGCAGGAAAAACGAGAAAAAATAATTGAAAACGTTGTTTTTATGAACCGTCATTTCAGCTAGCGCCAATATTGATATTTCCCAGGTTCCTACGGTGGGAAAAGGATACACGCAAAGAATTCTCGGGACAGATGATAACAGGTGAATTCCTCAGGGCTGCGATGTAGCTGTTTTGAACGCGCATAATAAAGTTGTCGGTCTTTAAAGTGCCACCGGACTCTTAGTGGTTTTTTGCTGAAACAGACGAACCCGGCTACCTCTCTGAAGAGCATTTTGGTGGTTTTTTGCTGAAACAGACGAACCCGGCTACCTCTCTGAAGAGCATTGACAGGAGCCTTAATATTAAGGACACTGTCCGTGGGGAGAGGAGTTAAGACGGAGAAGTAAGTGGGCAGAGAGCTGATCGGTGGAATCCGATTTAACTGTGAGGGGACACATCTGGGCTGTGTCCAGACTCAAGGGTTTTTTTCGAAAAAACGTCACTTGCGTTTAGACTACAGCTGCGTTCTTTCGAAATTAAATCGAAAGAACGCGGCTTTTCTTTCGACGGCGGTAAACCTAATGTCACGAGGAAGAACGCCGTTTTTCGAAAGTGCTCTTTCGAAAAAAGGCATTCTTGACTGCAAACAGGGCGTTTTCGAAAAAGAGCATCCAGACTGCCCGGGTGCTTTCTTTCGAAAAAGCGGCTTGCTTTTTCGAAAGTACTGGTTGCAGTCTAGATGCTCTTTTTCGAAAGAGGCTTTTTCGAAAGATACTTTCGAAAAAGCCTCTTTCGAAAGAGGCTTGCAGTCTAGACGTAGCCCTGGAGAAATAGAGGCGAGAGCCTTGGTAGCGTGGAAGCAATTGGATGGGAGCTGCCAAAGGGGCGCACAACGGCTTTATATGAGCATAACTGCACAGCCCGGAGCAACTGGACCTAAACCCGCGCTCCCTGTGCTGGGAGCAAGCTGGTCGGCATGGGAATGGCTGCACTTGGGCGCGCCCGCAGCGCCACTATGTCGGTGCAGCGCTGGGAGTGTAGACCCGGCGGAGCAGTGGGCAGGGAGGCGGCCGGGGCCAAGCCTGATTCTGCAGACCTGCTCTGGCAAGAGGCAGGAGCAGAGCTCGGCCCAGCCACAGGGGGTCCCTGAAGAATTGAGGTGGGGGGGACAGGCAAGGGCCCGGCCAGCGTGAACAAGGTGAGGGTGCCAGTAGAGAAGAGCTGCTTAGGCCGCTGTGGCCAGCACTAAGCACCGCCTGCTCAAACCAGAGGGGTGCTGGAGCCCCGTACAAGCAGAGGCAGAGAACAATTTTTGGAGTGGGGGGGTGCTAAACTGCACCCCCTTATCTCTGTCTGTACCCATCATTGCTCCACGGAGCTGAGGCCCGCAGCTGGCACCAGAACCCTGGGCCTGCAAAATTGGTGGGATCCCACATATGGAGTTTGGGGGCGGCGGGACAAACCCATCAGGACTGCCTGTCAGAGGCTCCAGGATCTACCAGTAGATCCCGATCTATGGGTTGGTGACTACTGTACTAGACCATAATACAGGAGACTAGTCAAGCAAGAGGACAGCAGCTGAAGCTGGTAAAAGGCATTTCTGTAATGACTTTGTGTGATTTGTCAGTTGACTGCATCCAGTGAGATAAAAACACACACTCCATCCAGAGCCATTAACAGGCCTGCCCCCAACATGCCATCCTGACTTACTTATAGCAATTATGGCAACATAAAATGTAACGTACAGCTGAGGGAATGCTCCTGAGACCCCTGCCCCCTGCTGGAGGCTTTGAGGTCCAGTCAGAAAAAAAGGCAATAGAGAGGTCTTCCAAGCAGGTTAGAGTGGCTGCAGGGGAAGCAGCCAATTGGGGGCCAGGAGGGCCATATAAAAGGAGT